GAGTTGGTGAGGTGGGTGGATCTCTTGAGGCCAGGAGTTCGAGACCACCATGTCCAACATGGCAAAATCCTATCTCTACTAAAAATACAAAAAAATTAGCCAGGTGTGGTAGCACTTACCTGTAATCCCAGCTACTCGAGAGTTTGAGGCATGAGAATTGCTTGAACCTGGGAGGCGGAGGTTGCAGTGAGCTGAGATGGCACCACTGCACTTCAGCCTGGGTGATGGAGCAAAGCTCTGTCTCAAAGAGAAGAAGAGGGGAGGGGAGGGGAGGGGAGGGGAGGGGAGGAAAAGAAAAGAAAAGAAAAGAAAAGAGCCGGGCGCGGTGGCTCACGCCTGTAATCCCAGCACTTTGGGAGGCCGAGGCGGGTGGATCACGAGGTCAAGAGATCGAGACCATCCTGGTCAACATGGTGAAACCCTGTCTCTACTAAAAATACAAAAAATCAGCTGGGCATGGTGGCGCATGCCTGTAATCCCAGCTACTCAGGAAGCTGAGGCAGGAGAATTGCTTGAACCCAGGAGGCGGAGGTTGCAGTGAGCTGAGATCACGCCATTGCACTCCAGCCTGGGTAACAAGAGCGAAACTCCGTCTCAAAAAAAAAAAAAAAGAAAAGAAAATCTATGTTGGGGCCAGGTGCGGTGGCTTACACCTGTAATCCCAGCACTTTGGGAGGCCAAAGTGGGCAGATCACTTGAGGTCAAGGGTTTGAGACCAGTGAGACCAACAAGGTCTTGCTCTGTCGCTCAGGCTGGAGTGCTGTGGTGGGATCTCAGCTCACTGCAACCTCTACCTCCTGGGTAAGCAATTCTCCTGCCTCAGCCTCCCAAGTGGCTGGGACTACAGTCTTGTGCCACCACACCTGGCTAATTTTGGCATTTTTAGTTGAGACAGCCAGGCTGGTCTTGAACTGCTGACCTCAGGTGATCCACCTGCCTCAGCCTCTAAAAGTGCTGGGATTACAGATGTAAGTTATCACATCTGGCCAAGGGTGCTTTTTCGGATTCAATCCTTTTTCTATACTACCTAAGAGCGTCAATAGTTGTCCCCACCTCCCCTTTTTATTTTGGATTCTTTCATGTTAGGAAGTTTCTTGCTTTTTTTTTTTTTGAGACCGAGTTTCGCTCTTGTTGCCCAGGATGGAGTGCAGTGGTATGATCTCGGCTCACCACAACCTCCGCCTCCTGGGTTCTAGCCATTCTCCTGCCTCAGCCTCCCGAGTAGATGGGATTACAGGCATGCGCCACCACTCCTGGCTAATTTTGTATTTTTAGTAGAGACAGGGTTTCTCCATGTTGGTCAGGCTGGTCTCGAACTCCTGACCTCAGGATACACCTGAGTGCTGGGAGGTCTCAGCCTCCCAAAGTGCTGGACTTACAGGTGTGAGACACCATGCCCGGCCAAAAAGTTTCTTTAAATACCTAGATTTATTTGCTTTCTGCTGACATTTAGGAGCGGGTGCTAACATGGCATAGTAGCTCACATCTGTAGTCCCAGCTACTCAGAAGGCTGACACAGGAAGATCCCTTGAGCCCAGGAGTTCAGGGCTACAATGAGCTATGATTGAGCCTCTGCACTCCAGCCTGGGTGGCAAGAGAGAGACCCTATCTCAAGAAATTAAAAAGAAGAAGAAAGAAGAAAGGAAAGGAGGAGGAGGAGGAGGAAGAGGAGGAGGAGGAGGAAAGAAGAAGAGGAGGAGGAGCAGGAGGAGGAGGAAGAAGAAAGAAGAAGAAGAAGAGTGAGATGCTAAGAAGTTGACTAGAGTTTCCATGTACACAGTTGGGACTTACCAACTGTGAGTTTCACTATGAAGTGATCTGGCCAACTCACTGGTTAGAGAACCGCTGATGTTCATATACTGAGGTCTTTTCTCACTAATCAAACTCCCCAGAGAAGAGTGTTCCGGTCTCTCACCTGGAAAGTATAAGCTTTGTTGCTAGAGTTCTGGAAACTACCACTCAGTATATAAACTTTCACTTTTTTTGTGTGTGTGATGGAGTCTTGCTCTGTCACTGAGACGGGAGTGCAATGGCACAATCTAGGCTCACTACAACCTCCGCCTCCCGGGTTCAAGCGATTCTCCTGCCTCAGCTTCCTGAGTAGCTGGGACTACAGGTGCATGCCACCATGCCCAGCTAATATTTGTATTTTTAGTAGAGACAAGGTTTCACCATGTTGGCCAAGCTGGTCTCAAACTCCTGACCTCATGATCCTCCTGCCTGGGCCTCCCAAAGTGCTGGGATTACAGACATCAGCCACCGAGCACAGCTTTTTTTTTCTTTTTCTTTTTTTTTCTTTTTTTGATACAGGGTCTCACTCTGTCACTCAGGCTGGAGTGCAGTGGCATGATCAGGACTCCTGCAATCTCAAACTCTCAGGCTTAAGCAATCTTCCCACCGCAACTCTCTCCAAGGAGCTGGGACTATTTTTCTATTTTTTTGTAGAGGTGGGGTCCCACTATGTTTCCCAGGCTGGTCTCAAACTCCTAGGCTCAAGCCTCAGCCTCCAAAAGTGCTAGAATTACAGGCATGAGTCAACTCGCCTAGCCCTAAACTTTCACTTCATCTATGTTTTCAATGCAGTACTCTTGCCCTCAACTGTACCCAGATGTTCTCTAAGCTAAAAACCTGTTTTCCATTTCCAACAAAGAAACCTCCAGTATTCTGATGGGTTGGGGGAGATCAGTTGCCAAGATATATAGAGTTAATAAAGAGATCTGGAGTCTCACTTCAAATAATCCTCCTAATTTTAGTACCACTTTTGTCCCAGTTGTACATGATGCTACTAATTTCAGGGTAAATCAGGTTGCTTGTAAGCTTTCTTTGCTGCTGGCTTAGTTACTACTTCATGGCAAAATCAGTCTGTTTTCCAGGATCTGTATAATGTTTTGCTATTAACTTCTCTCCCTTTCTGGGAGTTTGAGGCTGCAGTGACCCATGATTGAGTCACAGCATTCCAGCCTGGGCAGCAGAGTGAGACTTTGTCTCAAAAAATAAAATTGAAAAAAAAAAAAAAAAAAAAAAAAGCAACTTTACTGTTATTTTATTAGGATTTAGGGAAGGATTAATTAAAATGCCAGACCCATCAAGTTTTTTGTCTTTTAATTTTTTTTTGAGATGGAGTCTCACTCTTGTCTCCCAGGCTGGAGTGCAGTGGCATGATCTTGGCTCACTGCAACCTCCAACTCCCTGGTTCAAGCGATTCTCCTGCCTCAGCCTCCCGAGTAGGTGGGATTACAGGCATGCACCACCACGCCCAGCTAATTTTTTATTTTTATTTTTAGTAGAGACGTGATTTCGCCATGTTGACCAGGATGGTAGTTTTTTGCTTTTTGAGACAGGGTCTTACTCTGTCACCCAGCCTAGAGTGCAGTGGCACAATCAATGGCTCACTGCAGCCTTGACCTCTCAGACTCAAGAAATCCTACCATCTCAGCCTCCCAGGAAGCTGGGAATACAGGCGTCAGCCAACAACCCTGGCTAATTAAAAAAAAATTTTTTTATATTTCTATTTATTTATTTATTTTTAAAGATGGGGTTTCACCATATTGGTCAAGCTGGTCTCGAACTCCTGACCTCAGTTGATCTGCCCACCTCGGCCTCCCAAAGTGCTGGGATTACAGGCGTGAGCCACTGCGCCTGGCTTATATTTTTATTTTTTAAATATAAAAGATGGGGTCAAAGGCTGGGCGCAGTGCCTACCTACGCCTGTCATCCTAGCACTCTGGGAGGCCAAGATGGGCAGATCATTTGCGGTCAGGAGTTCGAAACAAGCTTAACCTACATAGTGAAACTCTTGTCTCTACTAAAATACAAAAATTAGCCAGGCATGGTTTCAGGCACTTGTAATCCCAGCTACTTGGGAGGCTGAGGCAGGAGAATTGCTTGAACCCAGGAGGCAGAGGTTGTTGTGTGCCGAGATCGTGCCACTGCACTCCAGCCTGGGCAACAAAGTAAGAAAGACTCCCTCTCTCTCTCTCTTTTTTTTTTTTTTTTAAAGATGAGGTTTCACCATATTGGTCAGGCTGGTCTCAAACTCCTGACCTCAGGTGATCCGCCCACCTCAGCCTCCCAAAGTGGTGGGATTGCAGGCGTGAGCCACCGCGCCCGGCTAGAAAGACTCCCTCTCAAAAGAGAAAAAAGAGCGAGCGAGCGAGAGAGAGAGAGAGAGAGACGGGGTCTCACTGTATTACCCAGGCTGCTCTCAAAGTCCTTAGCTCAAGTGATCCTCCCACCTCAGCCTCCCATAGAACTGAAATTACAGGATAAGCCACAATGCCCAGCCCCAAAATGCTTTTGTAAAGACAGTATCTCACTAAATAGCCAGGCTAGACCATTCAGTTTAGCCGTGTCTAACCTTCATTTGCTAACCTTGGGCAAACTGGTTTCATTCTTGATAATCTTGTATAAACTGTTACAAGTGATCTTTCCAAAAAAGGTAATTCTGGTCATAACACTTCGTAAAAACCCTTTAAAGGCTACCAAAGACCTTCAGATTCAAGCCCAAAATACTTAGCTTGCAAGCCTTTTCCTCATTCAGCTCCTACCCCCCGCCTCACCATTGTCACACCTAACCACCACCACACACTATTCACTTCAGACAGACGTAATTCCTTGCTGGACTCCACATGTGTTGGGACCCGTCACAGCACCATACCTCTTGCCTATGCCGTCTCCCTCTTCCACTACAAGCTGTCATCCACGTAGTTAACCTTTAAGATTCAGCTCACATCTGTAATCCCAGCACTTTGGGAGGCCAAGGCAGGCGGGTAACTTGAGGTCAGGAGTTCGAGACCAGCCTGGCCAATACGGTGAAACCCCGTCTCTACTAAAAATACAAAAATTAGCCGGGCGTGGTGGCGCGCGCGCCTGTGATCCCAGCTACTCGGGAGGCTGAGGCAGGAGAACCGCTTGAATCCAGGAGATGGAGGTTGCAGTGGCGCGAGATCGTGCGACTGCACTCCAGCCTGGGAGACAGTGAGACTCTGTCTCATAAATAAAGAAATAAACTCTTGTAGAATAATCTAAATAGAGGCCACAGACGGTGTTAAGAAGGTGGACAGGTCTAAATGGCCTCGGGCTAGAGGATATTTCACTGTCACCTCTCACTGCATGTGGTCCCGTGGCTGAGGCGCAGTGGATCCTGGGAGTTGTAGTTCACCAAGTGGACTGAGAAAGCGAGGCTGCGCTGAGCACCCTGGGAATTGTAGTGCTTGCTGCACGGTGCCCTCTGCGCAGGCGCAAAACGATTAGCCACTTCCGGAACAAGCGTTGCGTTTCTCAGGAGAAACTCCTGAGGAGGATTCCCGGAGTGACAATGGCTACCTACAGCCTGGCGAACGAGCGACTACGCGCCCTGGAAGACATCGAACGGGAAATCGGCGCCATCCTTCAGAATGCAGGTTCGGGATGCGATAACCCGGACGGCGGGGAGCGAAAACGAGGCCGAGCTGCACCCACAGGCTGACGGGGGACGTGGAGCAGGGTCGGGGAGGGAATTCTCGTACGTGCGTGCGCACCGAAAGGGCGGGACTGAGAAGGGCTGGCCCTGGGGCGGGGCTACACTGGCTGTCTCCGGGTGTCCCCGCCCCCTCTCCGCCCTGGCAGGTACAGTGATCCTAGAATTGTCCAAGGAAAAAACCAACGAGCGGCTTCTAGACCGGCAGGCGGCGGCCTTCACCGCTTCAGTGCAACACGTGGAGGCGGAGCTGTCAGCTCAGATCCGCTACCTCACCCAGGTGGGTGTGTCTGGGAGGTGCAGCTCTGGGTCAAAGCCTTAGCCTTAGGTGATCAGGGGTGGAGCATTAACTCGGCAGGACCAGATCTCCCCAGCTGGCCGTCCAGAGCCGGTTTCTTCCATTAAAAGGAAGGAAGTGGCCGGGCGCGGTGGCTCATGCCTGTAATCCTAACCTTGGGCAAACTGGTTTCACTTTGGGAGGCTAAGATGGGTGGATCACCTGAGATCAAGAGTTCGAGACCAGCCTGGCCAACATGGTGAAACTCTGTCTCTACTAAAAATAAAAAAATTAGCTGGGCGTGGTGGCGGGCGCCTGTAGTCCCAGCTACTCGGGAAGCTGAGGCAGGAGAATCACTTGAACCCGGGAGGCAGAGGTTTCAGTGAGCCAAGATTGCACCACTGCACTCCAGCCTGGGCAACAGAG